TTGTCATATAAGGCTTTTATTATGTTGAGTTATGATCCCTCTATTCCCACTTTGCTGAGAGTATTTTATCACGAAAGGGTGTTGCATTTTGTTTAATGTTTTTTTTCTGCATCTATTGATATGATCATCTGATTTTTGTATTTCAGTTTGTTTATGTGATGTATCACATTTATTGATTTGTGACTATTGTACCATCCTTGCATCCCTGGAATAAATTCCACTTCGTCATGGTGCATGATCTTTTTAATAAATTGTTGGATGCCATTTATTAATATTTTATTGAGGATTTTAGCATCTTTGTTCATCAGGAATATTGGCCTATAATTTTCTTTCTTTGTTGCATCTTTATCTGGTTTTGGGATTAGGTTAATGCTGGCTTCATAAAAAGAGGTTGGAAGTGTTCCTCTTGGATTTTTTGGAATACTTTGAGGAGTATAGGTGTTAGTTCTTCTTTGAATGTTTGATAAAACTCCCCTGTGAAGCTGTCCGGACCAGGGCTTTTGTTTGCTGGAAGCTTTTTGATGACTGCTTCAATTTCCTCAGTAGTTATCAGCCTATTCAGATTTTCTGATTTTTCCTGATTGAGTTTTGGAAGATTGTATTTTTCTAGGAATATGTCCATTTCATCTAGGTTGTCCAGTTTTTGGTATAGAGTTGTTTGTAGTATTTTTTTTACAATCCTTTGTATTTCTGAGGGGTCAGTTGTTACTTCACCTCTTTCATTTCTCATTCTGTTTATTTGGGTCCTCTCTTTTTGCTTTTTGGTGAGCCTGGGTAGAGGTTCATCAATCTTGTTTATCCTTTTAAAGAACCAGCTCTTGGTTCTATTGATCTTTTATATCATTTTTTGGTCTCTATGTCATTTATTTCCATTCTAATCTTTATTATTTCCTTCCTTCTACTTATTCTGGGCTTTTCTTGTTGCTCTCTTTCTAACTCTTTAAGTTGTAGGGTTAGATAATTTATTATCAATTTTTTTGTTTTTTGAGGTAGGCCTGTATAGCTATGAACTTCCCTCTCACAACTGCTTTCATTGTGTCCTATAGATTTTGGATTGTTGTGTTTTCATTGTCATTTGTTTCCAGGATGTTTTTTATTTCTTCTTTGATCTCTTTGGTAACCCAATCATTGTTTAATAGCATGCTATTTAGCCTCCAAGTGTTTGATTGTTTTTTTTATTGGTTTTATTATAGTTGATTTCTAATTTTATGCCATTGTGATCTGAGAAGATGCTTGATATGATTTCAGTCTTCTTGAATTTGAAGAGGTTTAGCCTGTATTCTAATATGTGGTCTATCTTTGAAAATGTCCCATGTGCACTTGAGAAGAATGTATATTCCGTAGCTTTGGGGTGAAATGTTCTGAAGATATCAATTAGTTTCATCTGATCTAGTGAGTCATTTAGGATTGCTGTTTCTTTGTTGATTTTTTTTTGTCTAGAAGATTTATCCAGTGATGTCAATGGGGTATTAAAGTCCCCTACTGTGATAATATTGTTGTTGATCTCTCCCTTGATATCTTCCTGAAGTTTTTTTAAAAATGTATTTTGGTGCTCCTGTGTTGGGTGCATATATGTTTACCAGAGTTATATCCTCTTGTTGTATTGATCCCTTTAGTAATATGATGTGACCTTCCTTATCTCTTGTTATGGCCTTCACTTTGAGATCTATTTTTGTCACATATAAGTGTTGCTACTCCAATTTTTTTTTCATTTCCTTTTGCCTTAAAATATTTTTTTCCACTCCTTCACTTTCAGTCTGTGTGAGTCCTTATATATGGGGCATGTTTTCTTATCCATTCAACTACCCTATGTCTTTGGATTGGAACATTTAATCCATTTACATTTAAGGTTATTATTGATAGGTAGTTTGTTGCCATTTTTTTTTCTATTCCTGTTTTCCTTATTCCCTGTCTATTTCTTCTTTTTACAACATTCTCTTTAGCACTTCCTGCATTGCTGGCTTGGTGGTAATAAATTCCCTTTGCCTTTTTTGTCTGTGAAGCTCCTGATTTTCCCTTCAATTTTGGATGATAGCCTTGCTGGATTGAGTATTCTTGGATTGAGTCCCTTGCTTTGCATCATTTTGTATACTCCATTCTATGCCCTTCTGGCCTGATGCATTTCTGTTGAGAAATCAGTTGATAGTCTAATGTGCGATCCCTTGTAGGGAACTCTGTTTTTTTTCTTGCAGCCCTCAAGATTCTTTCTTTGTCATTAACGTTTGCCATTGTAATTGTGGTGTGTCTTGGTGTGGTCTTTTTTGGGTGTATCTTGTTTGGGACTCTGTGTGCTTGTGTGATTTTTTTCTTTCCCATGTCAGGGACGTTTTCTGTCATTATTTCTTCAAATAGGTTTTCTACTCCTTGCTCCTCTTCTTGTACTTCTGGCACCCCTATTATGAGGATGTTGCTTCGTTTCATGTTGTCCCAAAGCTCCCTTAAACTCTCCTGCTTTTTTTACAATTGCTTTTCAGATTGGGTGTTTTTTCTATCCTATATTCTAACTCGCTGATTCAGTCCTCTGCTGCTTCTAGCCTGCTGTTGAAACCTTCCATTGTGTTCTTCATTGCAGCGATGTCATTCTTCATTTCCTCTTGATTTTTACACATGTTGGTGAATTTCTCATCCAGATGGTTGAGCATCTTTATAACCTTTTGTCTGAATTCTTTTTTTAAAAATATATTTTATATATATATATATTTTTTTTTATTTTTCGCTTAAAGTATTACAAAGGGTATTACATAAGTGTCCTTTAAAAATATATTTTATTGATTTTTTACAGAGAGGAAGGGAGAGGGATAGAGAGTTAGAAACATCAATGAGAGAGAAACATCAGTCAGCCGCCTCCTGCACACCCCCTACTGGGGATGTGCCTGCAACCAAGATATATACCCTTGACCAGAATCGAATCCAGGCCCCTTCAGTCCACAGGCCCACGCTCTATCCACTGAGCCAAACTGGTTAGGGCTGGTCTGAATTCCTTCTGTGACATATTGCTTGCCTTCATTTCATTTAGTTTCTTTTCTGATGAGTTCTCCTTTTCTTTCCTTTGAGGATTGTTTCTTTGTCTCCCATTTTTGCTGTCTCTTCCTGGCCCTGGGCACCCTGATTGAGGTCCAAGAGGTTAAAGTCCCTAGAGGTCCAATGGTCTGGAACTTGTTAGCCCAGAGGCTGGGTCTGCCTGAGCCTCATGCCTTTATTGTCTCTGCTCTGAGCTGTACCCACTTCTCCCATGGTTCTGGTCCCTCAGTTGTCTGCTGCAGATGCTCTGGGTTGTGGGGGCACATGCACAGTTCCTCTGTTGTGTGACTCCCTGTGGGGGCCAGAGCCCTCTGGCGTGCAATTCACCGTGCCACCCCGGCACCTGCGGCAGTGTGGCGCCCTAGGTCCCTCTGGCAGTGCACTTCAATGCGGTCCTGTGGCCAGTGGCTGGGCGCACTGAGTTGCACCGGCAGCACAGTCCTGTGGCCCAGGGTGGGCATGTGCCGAGTGGCTCCGGATTGCAATGATAGCATTGACCTGTGACCTGGGGCTGAGCCCTCCATGTGGTTCCAGGTTGCAGCGGCAGTGCTCTCCTGGGGCCCGGAGTGGGGTGCGTGTCGGGCGGCTTTGGATCTGACTGGCAGCATGGTCCTGGGGTGGGGGTGGGGTCCATGGTCCCCCTGGCTTGTACTGACAGTGTGGGGTCCTGGGTTGCAGGGTCTGGGCGCGCAAGCAAGGAGGTGCGGCGCAGGAAGTCTCTCTGTTGTGCATTCACTGCAGACATTTGGGAGCCCGCGGTACCATGCCACTCACGCCGGGGCGTGATGGTGGGCCCACATGGGTTATGACTGGTAAGCAGCCCCCTGCACTGATCCGGGATGGTGTCTGAGCCAGTCCTGGTGTCGGTGTGGCTGCGCTCCTGGCCTCTGCTGCTCCCCTCTATCAGAAGCATGGGCTCTACGCCAAAGTTACACCCGGCCTGGGAGTGCCTGTGGCAGTAGCAGGGGCTCCCCTTCCATGAGAGTCTGGTCTGCCAGTCCCCGAGACTCCTGCAAGATCTAACTGTCCCTCAATCACCCACACACACACCATAAATTACATCTGTGAATATTCAGAGAAGTGGATATTCAAACAATAATGAGGTGAGTTTCTTCTCTAGAAATAGGCGAGGTTTTAAAAACTGATGCTACTTATGTGATGAGAATGCAGAGAAATGCTTGCCTGTAACACATTGGTTCAACTAGGAAACAGTGGCAAAAGAAAGGTCAGCAGGTGTAAGTAGGAACTCATGTCACTGCACGTGGGGTTGAAAGGTGTATGGGACTAAATTACCTTGACATAGTCCAAGAACTGGAGCAGGGGATGGGCAACAATAAATTGTGATGAAGTCCCAACAGGAAGAGGTAAAAGTATTTAATTTAAGGTAGACTTTGATAGGTTAGGAATGCTTGTTAAAATGTCTAGGGTAACCATTAAGAGATAATGAAAAAAATGTATGACTAAGAAGCAAGTAGAAGAGTTAATGGAATTATAAAAAAAACAAAAAACATGTGGCTAATCAAATAGTAGTCAGGAACCCAGCTGGTGGGGTTCAGTGGTTGAATGTCGACCATGAACCAGGAGGTCATGGTTTGATTCCCACTCAGGGCGCATGCCTGGGTTGCCGGCTGGATCCCCAGTAGGGGGCGTGCAGGAGGCAGCTGATCACTGATTCTTATCATTCATGTTTCTGTCTCTCCCTTCCTCTCTGAAATCAATAAAAATATGTATACATATATTTTTTAAAAAGTAGTCAGGAAAGGAGCAACAAAGGAACAAAGGTCATGGAACAGAGACAACAACAGGAAGATGGGAGATTAAACCAGAACCAAATTCCTGCCTTACATATTAATGAACTGGAGAAAAGCAACGGCACAGTACGGCCTCACTTCACATCATCAGTAGCTCTGTGCCTTGAGTGAAATGACGTGTAAGGAAACCAGTTCCCCACAGGCTCGTCAAGATGGAGAAGAGTCAGGTCCCTGCGGCGTCTCAAGGGTGTGATGCAAAGATGTTGAATGGGACCTGCCAGATATGTGACTTTCAAGAGACAAACCTTACATATCAGGACACAGAAAGGTTGAGAAAGGATAGAGGAAATCTGCCAAGCAAACACTAACTAGACAACGCTGATGTCACTAACTTCAAAGAAAACTTGAAAGCAGGAAGAGCACAAGAAAGTCACTTCGTAACAATGAGAGGGTCAGCTCAGCAGATGAGCCTGCCAGGCGGCCCGAATGCACCCAGTGCTGGAGCACAGAGTGGACAGAGCACACTGGGCAGCACACAGGTGCCTCAGACACAGGTGGGCATTGGCAGCGCATGTCCCTTGGCAGCTGATAGAAATTTAGTGGAGGTACAAAGGTTTGAGTGCATGGTTAAACTACATCTAACACACACCTAAAGTATACCTGCAAGTGCAATATTTATGTTCTTTTGAAGAATACAGAGAAAAGTTCTCAAAAGATCGTATGTTCTGGACATGGGATTGAAATAATACAGAAGACGTGTTTTGACCACAGTGCAATTAAGCTAGAAATCAATAATAAAAAGGTAATTAGAAAATACCCAAAAGTTTGAAAATCAAGTATTATACTTCTAAAAAGCTGTGGGTCAAAGAAGTCAAATGGGAATTAGAAACTATTTTCCACAGATAATGGAAACCAGCATTTAAAAGCTGTGGGATTCAGTTAAAGCTATTCTGAGACACATTGGAAACGGAAAAGGCTGCAAACCAATGTCCACATACCTATCTCATTGGGGCAAAGGACAGTAAGAAATGAGAAGGAACAAAATAATAGAAGATAATGTCAGAAATCCATAAAATTGGAAGCTGTCAAGTTTAACAAAGCCAAAAGGAATTATTTAAAAACATTCATAGAATTTATAAGCCCTAAGAAGCTTGACTTAAGGGAAAAGAGAAAGCCAGACACAAAGACTCAACAGCAAGAATGAAAAGGCCGTTACCACAAACACTGAGAGGGTAAAAGATGGCACTGTGGACAACTCATGTCCCTGAAGGCTTACACGAGTGAGCCGTGGGTTCATCTGTTGGGGGTGCCGTGTGGTGGGAGATGTGTGGGGATGGCGGACTGGAGCTGTAGGTTGGGAGGATGGGATGGTAGCTAGAGAGTAAGGTGATGGGAAGGTGGTGGTTTGGGTAATGACCCTGAGTGAGTGGGAAGGACACCTGTGGGTGGAGCACCAGCTGGGAGGAGAGCAGAGCTCCTGCGATGGGGTGCCCAGGAGCCTGGCGCCGGCATTAACGTCCGGAAGGAAAGGAGACCAGCCCGGCAGTCGAATAGGAGTCTGTGAGCCGAGGAAAACCAAGTGCAGGGTTTGGGCGCCCTGTGGGCAGCAGGGCGGCTGGCTTGTAGGCGACGGCATGGTCCAGTCCCATGGGACACAGGTCTGCGCTTCAAGGACAGCGGGCGGCACGAACATGACACGCCCTTTCAGGCCACAGCACAGCGACATCACAGAAAGGCAATGCTGGTCCAAGCCCACGAAGTCGTGAAGTGCAGAGAATTGCTTTCTGTGACAGTTCTAGGGACGGAGCCTGGCGTGGTTCTGTGTTGACTCGGGAAGCGTGGTTCATGATGCTCTCACGTTGGTCCGCGCGTGACTGCTAAATGCCTCAGACAGACACTGACAGGTGAGTCCTGGACAGCAGCTCTGTCTCACCAGAGGCTCCCCGCATGCCCCTGTGCATTGCTCAGTTTAACTTGTCTGTTTCCAATTTATTTTCCAGGACACGCAGCACGAAGTTGCTTCGGCTCATTGACCTGGACTTTTCATTCACATTCTCTTTCTTGGATCTGCCACCAGTAAATGAATATGACATGTACATCAGGAACTTCGGGAGAAAAAACACCAAGCAGGTGAGTACAGCAGGTACTGACTGCGCTCTGGACCTTGAGGGCAGGGAATGTGCAGAGGAGGAGGAGGGAGGGAGAAGGGCCCCTCATTCACCACGTGGTGCAAGTGAACCTGAACGGTGTGCAGGTGTCCACAGAAGCCCACACGGAGGGCGGCTCCCCGCTCCCAGTGTGGCTGTGTGGGGAGCAGAATGTCCCCTGGATCCCTTGCTCAGGTCCCAGTGAGGGTGTGACTGTCATAGTGCAGGGCCTCCAAGTGCTGTGCACCCAGTGATTCCCATGCTCCCCCTGAAGTGATTCACCCTCGTCCCATCCTTTCTGTTCCATTGCACCTTCCCCTGTATGCCCTGACTGTCCCCTGCCTGTGTGCCCACTCTCACTGTGCCAGGCCCCCTCACCTGCCTGTGTGCCCTCTCTCACTGTGCCAGGCCCCTCACCTGCCTGTGTGCCCTCTGTCACTGTGCGAGGCCCCCTCACCTGCCTGTGTGCCCTCTGTCACTGTGCGAGGCCCCCTCACCTGCCTGTGTGCCCTCTGTCACTGTGCCAGGCCCCCTCACCTGCCTGTGTGCCCTCTCTCACTGTGCCAGGCCCCTCACCTGCCTGTGTGCCCTCTCTCACTGTGCCAGGCCCCTCACCTGCCTGTGTGCCCTCTCTCACTGTGCCAGGCCCCTCACCTGCCTGTGTGCCCTCTCTCACTGTGCCAGGCCCCCTCACCTGCCTGTGTGCCCTCTGTCACTGTGCGAGGCCCCCTCACCTGCCTGTGTGCTCTCTGTCACTGTGCCAGGGCCCCCTCACCTGCCTGTGTGCCCGCTCTCACTGTGCCAGGCCCCTCACCTGCCTGTGTGCCCTCTGTCACTGTGCCAGGCCCCTTCACTGCCTGTGTGCCCACTCTCACTGTGCCAGGCCTCCTCACCTGCCTGTGTGCCCTCTCTCACTGTGCCAGGCCCCCTCACCTGCCTGTGTGCCCTCTCTCACTGTGGCCAGGCCCCCTCCCCTGCCTGTGTGGCCTCTCTCACTGTGCGCAGGCCCCCTCACCTGCCTGTGTGCCCTCTCTCACTGTGCCAGGCCCCTCACCTGCCTGTGTGCCCTCTCTCACTGTGCCAGGCCCCTCACCTGCCTGTGTGCCCTCTCTCACTGTGCCAGGCCCCTCACCTGCCTGTGTGCCCGCTCTCACTGTGCCAGGCCCCCTCACCTGCCTGTGTGCCCTCTCTCACTGTGCCAGGCCCCCTCACCTGCCTGTGTGCCCTCTGTCACTGTGGGAGGCCCCCATCACTGACCTGTGTTTTCTCTGTCACCGAGCCTAGCCCTCCTGTCACACGTGTGTTTCTCAGTGTCCATGGCCTGGTTCGAGGCCTGAGGTGAAGCCTTCCCTCATGACTTACACTGAACTCTCTTATTCCAAAGTCTCCACCCTCCATGCCACACAGCTGACTCCCCTGTTGTACTGTAGTCACTAACTCCCCCTCCGTTCCAGAAGTTGAAGGCAGGGATTATCTCTTGCATTTTTCTTATGTCCTGTTAGTGCCATTGGGTACATACTGTGGGTCCATTCCGTTGGTGACAGTCTCTCAATAGGAGGAGGTCACGGGATGGCCCTGCAGGAGCGCTGGGTGATCCTGCTGACTCACGCTAACCTTGAGCCGATGGTCCAGCTCCTCTCAGAGTTGCTAGTGACGACACGCGTGACTGCAGCACGCACCTGTTTTGCTGTTGCTAATTCTCACCCCAAGGTATTTCCCACTGATATTTTGTGAGAGTGGAAGGGAGGGGGAGAGAGAGAAACATCGATGTGCGAGAGACACATCCATTGGTTACCTCCTGCATGTGTCCCGACCAGGGCCTGGGATCGAGCCTGCAACCAAGATAGGTGCCCTTGACTGGATTCAAACTTGGGACTCTTCAGTTCGTGGGCTGATGCTCTATCCACTGAGCCAAACCGCTAGGGCTAGATTGCATTTGGTTTGCAAAGTCAGTATGTTCCTAAAAAAATAGATGTTGGTGGGCTCCTCAGTAGTTTTTTACACCAAAGCTGAATTGTTTGATGTGACTTTTTTAAAACCCTTTAGAAAGTCAGGCCTATTAAACACAGCAAACTTTTAAGACCCAGACTGCCTTTGCTTGATGGTATTTATGCCATGATACTTATTTTTGACAAAAGCAAGAAGACTGCCATTGAGAACTAACGTTTTTCTTGTCAGTAACGAGGCATTGCTTGAGGTTGAGTGCTCACGCAGCCCTTTGTTTTGAAGGCGTACGTCCAGTGCAATGAAGGGAATGTGGAGCGAGACATCCAGACAGAGGAGATGGAGACCAGGGAGGCGTGGACTCAGCACCCCGGGGAAGGCGCGGCCGTGTCGGGGGGTAAGCAGCTCGCAGCTGCTCCCCTCTGAGAGCCGGGTTCTTCACGTTGCCTGTGGTGCTATGCTCAGTGCATCGCTTGCTCTTTCTCCTTCTGCCTTTCTCCCGGGGGTGGTGGTTCGTACCTGATGGAAGTGCCACGCCCTCTTGGTGGGGCAAACCAGCGGCCTGAGCGCCAGCTGGGCCGGTCAGCAGGGCAGAGTCCCCTCCAAACACGCAGCTTCGTGAGGGCTTCTGAGCGCGCTTGGCTTTTGACTTGGGATAATCTGTTCTCCTTAATAGAGATTTGTTTTTAATTTTTTTAAAATGTCTTTTTCATTGATTTTTAGAGAGAGAGGAAGGGAGAGGGATAGAAACATCGATGAGAGAGAAACATCGATTATCACTCATCTGCCTCCTGCATGCCCCCTACCGGGGATTGAGCCCACAACCCGGTACTGTGTCCCAAACAGAAATCGAACCGCAACCTCTTGATTCTGGGAATCAGCCAGCTGAGCAATAGAGATTTTCTACACGAGTGTGGTTGCAGATACGTGGTGTCGATACAGATGGCAGGTCCCAGAGGCGTGCTCCACGCTCGTGGCTTTCCTCCGTGACCTGTGTGCTCCGTGTCCACTTCCCTGTTGCAGCTGATTCTGAGGAAGCCTCCCCCTAAGAAATCAGGCACCGACATGTGACACTTACACCATCATCGATGCCGTGAGCTCCAGGGGTGGGCAAAGGCAGTTTACAGTTGTGAGCACGCAAAACAGAGTTTCTTGTATTATTACTCATTAATGATTGGGTTATTTGTGTTACAACTGTCAATCTACTTTTGTCCACCCGTGCTTTCCTTAATGTCTTTAAGTAGGGTTCCGTTCACAGACTTTATGTGAAACAAGATGCAGTGGGTTTTCTCAGTTACATGTATTGGGGACAGCGGTTCATGAGGTGACGAGTTTCAGGTGAGCAGTGCTGTGACCCAGCACCTGTGCTCATCGCCCGAGCCTCCCTCCATCAGGTGCAGTTTACAGTAGATCCAGAGTAAATGTGGACTTTCTGAGCTCCGCTTCCAGCTTCCTAATGTTCATGTGGCCTCTGCACTCTGACGTGGCTGCTTAGAGCCCACCTGGTTGTTTTCTGTGACTTTTTAGGGAGTGAGAGCAGGGAGCCCTCGGATGCAGCGGCTGTGCCTAAGGTGGACACGCTGAGACTGTCCAGCTTCCTCCGGGCAGCCTGCCAGGTAGGTGCCTGGGACGTGGCCTGTCACCTGGGTCACCACCAACTAACATAAACAACGACTGGAAAACACAAATGAAGTTGGCAAGGCAGACATAGCTCTAGAGCAGCGGTTCTCAACCTGTGGGTCACAACCCCTTTGGCGGTTAAACGACCCTTTCACAGGGGTCGCCTAAGACCATCCTGCATATCAGATATTTACATTACGATTCATAACAGTAGCAACATTACAGTTATGAAGTAGCAACGAAAATAATTTTATGGTTGGGTCACAACATGAGGAACTGTATTTAAAGGGCCAGAAGGTTGAGAACCACTGGGCTAGAGCAGTGGTTGGCAAACTGCGGCTCAGTAAACCGCGGCTCGTGAGCCACATGCAGCTCTTTGGCCCCTTGAGTGTGGCTCTTCCACAAAATACCCGGCTCTTCCACAAAATACCGACTTCTGCGCATGGGCCACGAAGTTTCAATCGCACTGTGTGTGCGCGCCCACACGTGGTATTTTGTGGAAAGAGCTACACTCAAGGGGGCCAAAGAGCTGCATGTGGCTCATGAGCCACAGTTTGCTGACCACAGCTCTAGAGTATTTGAAACTAAGAAACTTATGACTTTTAAACTGGCCATGGAAACGTCAAACGGCATGAGAGACAGGGAGCACGTGGAGGACTTGAGGCGCCTCCACAGTTGCAGGTCGCGGCCACTGTCTCCTCTGAGCCCCCACAGACCCTCCCTGTTGCTGTGACACAAGGGCAGTGCCCACAGGCCCCGTGAGCCCCTGTGAGTCTCTAAAGAGAAGGACCCACATTCCTACTCTTTCGAATGCCCTCAAGTCGGGAGTCTGTGTTCCTGGTCCCACCGCGTCTCCGTTGGTGTAAAGCAGCTGGCGTGGGGCTCAGTCTGGCCTGCCCGCTGTCCCCCCTCCAGCGAGTCCTGCTTCCACACGCTGAGCGGTGGCTCTCCGCGGTGTGAGTCCTGGGAGGCTGAGGGGGCTGGCAGCGCAGGGCGGAGCGGCAGGCGGCTGGGCAGGCAGCAGTGACTGGCTCACTGCGCCTCCTGGGTCCTCGTAGCGCAGGGAGAACACCTTGGGGCCTGCGCGTGACGTGTCTTCGTCCTGGTACTTTAGCAGAGTCTCTGCCATCAACAATGGCGTGTGCCCTGAGATCCCAGCTTCCTGAGGAGTTGTTCCCCTGCTGTGCCCGCAGGACAGTGTCCTTGCACCCTGTTGCTTCCTTGGTGCCTGGCGGGGGAGCAGCTCCTGTGAGATGTGGGGGAGATGAGCGGGCGGCGTGTTGATTCGGGCACTCACTGTCTTTGGAAGGTGGTTGCAGTTTTGCTGGAAGAGGACCGCGTGGCAGCTGCCCCCAGCCGGGACCCCGGGGCCCAGGACAGCACCCTGCCCGTCAGTGACAGCGCCTGGCAGCTGAACACCAGCCTGCCCTTCCTCCAGCGTAAGAGCCTCCTGCTGGTGCCTAAGTGGGACCACGCGTGACACTGACGTCGCGGTCTCGGGCCCGCCTGTGACGTGAGGTGCAGCCGTGAGGTGCAGGCGGGACACGTGCGGGTGTGCGTGTTTGCTGAGGCGGTGCCAGGACCTGCCCCTGCCCGGGCACCGCTCGGTTGTTCCTTTGAGACCGGAGCAGCGCAGCGCTGAGAGGCCGTGCGGCCTGCGCTGGCTCTGCTCCGTAGACCCACAGGTAGCCCGTGGCCTCAAAGCACAAAACGTTTGTCAGACGTGAAGTGTGGTCACATGTAATCGTTTAGATCAGTTTTAAAAACTGCATTTGCGCGGTCCAGTCAGTGCCTGAGGCTGGTCGCTGCTCTGCTTTGGAACGATGGCTGCAGGCGGCCGCGCAGGAGGGACGCGCGGCGTGTCGTGGGGGTGCCTCTGTCCTTCACATAAACAAAAATGGCATTTTAGCTTTAAAAAGCTTGTGGTTTTGGGGGGTGTTTTTATTTTTAAAAGATATGAGTTATCCTGTCAGGAAGTAGTGAATCACTGTCTCTATGGAATTCCAAACAGGTGTGCACGCTCCACACCACCTCTTCTCCCGGAGCTGCCCAGTGACGCACCCGCAGGCCTGGAGGCGCTGGTACAAGTGCCACTGGCATAAGAGTCCCTCGTGGGGGACACGAGCGTGCGTGTCCTCACAGGACTGGCCTCTGGTGGGCGTGGGAGACCCTCCTGAGGACAGGGAGGGATTCCTCGTAGGTTTGCATTTTGGTAGAATGAATTCTGAGGTGACAGAAGGAGAGTGGATGACAGGTGTCTGAGGCTCGCTGGTCACACCTGTGAGGCGAGGCCTCGGAAGGAGTGATGCTTCCGCCGTCAGGAGTGCTCGCCCGCGCAGCAGCGTGGTGCCGGCGGGCCGCTCCTCATTCCTGCGTTGGCCCATGTGCAGCGTGTGTCCAGTGTCCCGGGCCCTGGTGAGAGTCAGCAGTGGACAGAAATCCTTGTGGGTCAGACTATGAACTTGCTAAATGAGTGACGTGTGCAGTAGGTTGAACTGGGCAAGCTCTTGGGAGAAAAACAAAGTGGGCAGGGCCCCTGACGGAGCTGCTTGGCGGTGTGACACCTCGGGGACTGCAGGGCCCACTGAGGCGGCCTGGCTCCGGGCTGCGTTGTACCGAGTTTGAAGGATCACTTTTTAGCAAACCCACACGTCAGCTTTGACAGGGTTCTTGTAGAGCTGTGGCCGTTGACCACCCGCATTTCAGGCACGTGGAGCTTTGGAAGGCCATGCTGCTTCTTCATGAAGCTGAAATGCACTGACATATTTGTGTTATCTGACCTGGTTCTGGCAGACCCTCCCATGCTGCGGCACTGCCGTATTCTGTCCCCAGATCGCAACGTGTCCAGCTTGCACGCCTCTCCGGCGCGGAGGCAAGTGGTGTCCGTTCACGGGCTTCCTGACCAGGCCTGCGCGCCTCCGCTGGACCACAGGCACCTGCTCTGCGTGTGGGACATCTGGCAGCCCTCGGGGCCGCAGAAGGTCCTGGTGTGTGAGTCACAGGTATCACTCGGGCGCAGGGCGGGCAGGTGGGCGCCTGCTGGGCCACAGGGAGCAGGAGGGTGGAACTTGTCAGCTCCTTTCTCTTTCCTCCTGGCCTCCCTCAGCTCTGTCTGTGACAGGACATGAGTGGGTCTGTTTTGACTCTAAAAATTTTAAGTTCAGAAGAAACCCACAGCGTGAAGCCTGGTTGGCACACACTGTGGGAATTGGGTATCAGTTAGGGCTCCAGGCCGAGTGGACACACGGCCCCTGGGCACGGCTCTGGTTCAGAGTGGACTTGTTGCTTGTGCTGTCTGGGTCCTGGACATGGTAGAGGTTTCTTAATGCTTGAGATTGAGTCTGTAGTCTCATGCGTTTTCTGGCCCCTGGCTCACAGGCCGTGGTCTGGTGGCCACGCAGGTCACCCTGTTTACATGCTCCTTGACCTCAGAATCATTGATTCCACCAAAACAGTAGAGAACAGTAACTTTTACTGATGTCAGTTTTGGGACTTGAAGATAACTTTTGGTGATGCAGGCTGTAAATGGAGAGACAGAAGCTGGCTTTGCTGATGGGGCTGAGTGGGGCCTGGCGCCCACTGAGGACGCCAGCGCAGACACGCCCAGACGGGCCTCGTGTCTGCAGCTTCTCGGGGAGGCCCCGGGCACCGGGGCAGCAGAGCTCTCTGTCCTCCCAGGTCACCTGTTGCTGCCTGAGCCCCTTCAAGGCCTTCCTGCTGTTTGCTGGGACCGTGCACGGCTCGGTCATCGTGTGGGACCTGAGAGAAGACTCTCGGATGCATCGTTATGTGAAGCTGAGCGACTGCTTTTGGACATTCAGGACAGCAACGTTTTCCACTGGTCAGTGAAGCCCGCCTGCCTTTAGGTGTCTCTAGACAAGTGTGACAGACTCCAGGAGTGTCTGAAATGTCTTGGCATTTATGGTTCCGGTTACCCCAGAGGATGGGGTCTGACCTATTAGCAAAAGAGGCCTTTGACAAAAAGGAGAACAAAAATGCCTCCAGG